GGAAGCAAAATATAATGACGAGGAATTTGATTTAGATCATATCAAAGATGGAGTACATTGAGATGAAATACTACATTTAGTAAGGAATTATAAGCCAAATAAAACAAAAACATCTGCCCTGAAGATAAGGATAGTGCTGACAGATCAACTTCGAATTCATTGCGTGCCGCGGCGTTTCCCCCCGCCGCAGAGCAGCGTGAAATTGATAAACAGATTTCGGAATGGTTAGATAAACAAAGGATTACGCCTTTATCCATTTTTTGCAGCAATTCCACTTTTTGTTTAATGGACTTCGAAACATACTTTCGCTTTGTAGATCCTTTACATATTAGTAAATATATATCAGAAATTCTATTTGACATAATCGAAAGTTCAAGCTTACTTTTATAAAATTGCTCTAACTGTCTGCAAAAAATAATAAGCCGGATCCAACTCGAAGATTAAGGAACAACGCAATCTGCAACATTAACAGAATTAGATAATTTTAGCTTAGCTTATACCATCTGTTATACATTAAACGCGCATGCGCATATTCGCAGCCGTAAAGCTCTTACGCGCATGTACGCAGAAAGTTTGTAGCTTTGAAGTCCGGATTATAGATCATTCCGGTTTATGGGTGTCCGAATTAACGACTTTTGACTGTAGTTTTAAATACAATTAATTAAAATTAATTTCCTTTTATATTGGTATTAATCAATTAAATTAATAGAAGGAAAGATATATTCATTTTTAATAATTCAAAGCTGTTAAGAGTTCAGAGAATTTCTATCTTATTGACTTTAAAAAGAAAGAAAGAAAAAAAAAAAAAAAGAAAAGAAAGAGTTCAGATTTTAATCATCGCCCAAAAGAATTTGTTAAGGTCCTTTACACTCTCGCTGTGTGCTCTACTCACTTCTGTTAGCATTATTATTAAGCACCATTTTCTTTGCACTTACACCATATACAATTCAACAGCAAAATTATAAAATTTTAAAAAATGCATATGTTTAGAATTCTCAATGCAATGTTAAGTGTTGGCATACATTTTTCTATTTTTTTTCAGGCTTTTCTCAGTTTATCATATCCATATTCAGTTTTTTAAGTCAGATGGCTTGCAAAACATCTTTTTTGTCTTTTTATTATGAATGTTTTGTGTGTGAACTATTTATTAAATATCACTTTCTTCGCACTTATGAAACATAAAATTCAATTCAACACCAAAATCACAATATTTAAAAAACAGTGCATCTTTAGAATTTCTTAGACAGTTTCATGATAAAAATATTTTATACCATATAATGTTTACACTGCTTGCTTTCAAATTGTTGAGTTTGTTAATCAAAAATTCATTTAAGTGTTACAAAATATGAAGTAAAAATTCAAAATTCAGGCTTCCAGATACACATGTTCAGATGGACGACTGCATTATTCAAAATTCAAGAGCTCTAGGTACTGTTATTTTTTCACAATGTGAGGAACATCATACATACACACATGCATGCAGATTCTTCATTATTTAATTTTTTTAAAGCTTATACTGTTAAAAATTTTATCAACTTTGTACTATTAAAATTTTTAGATCATTAAATAGATAAGTGAAAGTTCACTTACCTTCTAAATAGGGCTACCCTGAACTGCCTGCTTTTCCTTCTTGTCAGTATCCGTCTCTATGATGAACTTCGATTCACTGCGAAACACAGCTATAAACTTTTTTTTAAGAAATTTTAATTAATCATATGAAATATATCTACAAATATTTTACAAGTTATAATGATTACAAGCATTATATTTATAATTTATACGGAGACGGTCTATCGTTATACATCTGTTAGACGCGTCAGCCGTTCAACTGACTACTTTTAGTCCTCTTTTCGCCAGAGGGCGTTCGTGGAAGTAAAGTTCTAGTAAGCAAACGCGACACTCCCACCTTGAGGTCCAGTATCAACAGAGGATGGACCTCAACTGACCTGTAGTTCAAGTCTTTTGAGATTTCGTCATACGTCGAGTTCCTGTACCTCACTTTGCATATCCGACTCAGGTGTAAAAGTTGAGTTCAAGAGGTATGAGGTTCTTAGTAGGTCTTATAATCTCCCCTTGTGCAGTTTTCAGTTTCACTAATCTAATGTGTCCGTCGTGGGATGGAAAAATTTCCAGGATTCTAGCTAAGGGCCAGTTTATCCTTTTTTCGTTGTTGGAAACAATTACAAGATCACCAACTTTCACAGAAGATGGTTCGCGGATGAATTTTGAGCTTTGTTTTAGTTGCCCTAAATATTCTGATCGAAATCTTTTTCGTAAATCTTTTCTCAATTTGGCTCTGTAAAGGTATCTTTTATTGATGGATTTAGAATCCAAAAGATCTAATTCAGGAACTCCAGTCTCTGGAATTTCTGTTAGAAACATTGCTGGGGTGAGAGCTCTTAAATCCTTTACGTCTTCTGACAAATACGTGAGAGGACGGTTGTTCATAATGCTCTCGCAGTCACAAATGATTGTCAACAATTCTTCGTAGTTCAGAGAAGATTTTCCTAGTACCTTTCGAAGAATTCTCTTTAGTACTCCAATTAATCTTTCCCACCACCCTCCCCACCATGGCGAGGAAGGGGGTAATAAATTCCATTCAATTTTCTTAACTGTTGCATTTTCTAAGATAGAATTCCAATCTATGGTCTTAAACAAATTATTTGATCCAACAAAATTGGTTCCATTGTCGGAGTATACAGTGACAGGTCTACCCCTTCGAGCGATGAATCGCCTGAACGCGTGCAGGAAACTTTCGGTTGATAGAGATGAGACTAGCTCTAAGTGAACTGCTCTATATATTGCGCAAGTAAAAATGACGATCCATGTTTTTTTGGCCTCCTTTTAAAATTAAGGGACCCGTCAGATCAACACCAATAATCTCAAAAATTAAAGCATCTCTTATTCTGTCTTCAGGTAGTGGCGCTTGAGGAATCTTATATGAATCAGAGTCGAACCTTCGACATCGTACACAGTTTTGGATAACCTTGCATACGGTCTTCCTACTCTTTATGATCCAATATTTTTCACGTAAAGCGCACATAACGAATTGTACTCCAGCGTGACTTAGCCTTTCATGTTCAGATTTGATCAGTTTTAATACTAATGGATGTTCTGAGGGAAGTAAAACTGGGTAATGAAAGTCAGCGTCATTGTCTCTCTGAAAGATACGTGTCTTCACTTTTATAAGGCCATTGGAGTCCATGATAGGTTCTAGAGCACGTATTCTTTGATCTTTCAATCCTTTGAAAGATTCTCGTTGGATGAGTCGGAAAACCACTGTTTCAGCTCCTTTTAGTTCCTCGACTGAAATTCTCCCATGAGTTCTTTCAACGATAGACCGTCTCCGTATAAATTATGCTTGTAATCATTATAACTTGTAAATATTTTGTAGATATCTTTCATATGAATTAAAATTTCTTAAAAAGTTTATAGCTGTGTTTCGCAGTGAATCGAAGTTCATCATAGATATGGATACCTACAAGAAGGAAAAGCAGGCAGTTCAGAGCAGCCCTATTTAGAAGGTATGTGAACTTTCACTTATCTATTTAATGATCTAAAAATTTTAATAGTACAAAGTTGATAAAATTTTTAACATATACAGAGCCATATTATTAGCTGGCAATTTGAAAAGTAATTCCCCATTTATAGTGGACAATGCAAAACTTTGTTTAGAGTCTAATAGCTCATTCTGGTTAACAATTTTTAGGCCAATAAATGCTGATTCTCACATTAATGTGGTGGATGAGCTTGCTGATTCTTGCATAGCTGTTCTGTGTTTGGATATATGCTGGTAATCTTAGGTGTGAGATCGGCACATACGTCAAATGAATTTCGGCCAATTGTTTTTATTTGAGCTGATGAAGAACACCCTTATTGACATGGAAGCAAACTGAGAAATAATAATTTTTTAAACACTACATTCTGTCTTCATTGGTAATGGGGTTCAGATATAAACGATACCTTCTGCTTGGAATTTCATTTTGAAACCAGTGTAATTCAAGAGCTCTATCAACAATTCTCTTTCATTCAGGGACAGTTCCCCCCCCCCAAGTATTATAATGAAAAGGATCGTGAACTGATCAAAATTTGCTACATCCACTTGGAAAATAAATTTCATATTGCGATCTCAAAAATTTGAGATGTGAATGTAAGTCATCATATAATTGCCAATAATGATATAATTTTCCATTAAAAAAGATTCTAAGATTGGAAATGGTTAAAAATTTCTCTGTTTTATTCAACTAACTAACAAATTAAGTTTTCTCTCCTTCATTTCTCATGGCCACCGAGAACAATCAAAGAATTACCTTTTAGACAAAGATTTAGTTTATTTTTTTAGAATACATCTGAAAGATATGCCAATGTACTTAGCCACAAGTTATCAGCAAGAAATAATGTAAAGTCTTGTTAATTTTAAATTACAAATAACAGGCCATTTTTGCAAATCTAGGAAAATCAAAAAGAGAGGCTTTGAGGACCACAGTTTGAGGAACACTTATTTAACTGCTCTGGATTATATATATATAGATATATATATAAACACTTCATGAAGAATTTGAATATTAACCTTTAAAAATTTTTGCTGAAAACTATTAGTTTAACATTTATTTAATTTTATTTTCTGAGCTTTTTAAAACTGAAACAAAATTTAACTATCAAGAATTAGAATGGCAACACACTAGACTTGGAATTTTGCCATGAATGTAGCCACACAATTACAAGTCCAAAGTACCAAATGATTACATTCCAATTCCTATTTGTGCATTCACAGCAGGGTCAAATATTTATGGCATGGTAATTTTAATAAATTTTATAATTCTTTTTCAACCATTTTTATGAATACTTGATATTTTTTTAAGCTGTTCCATTAAGCAACTTGTAATACATAGTAATTAACTGATAAATATTAATGATATTTTCAGAATATAGCAGCTGTTTTTCAGTTGCTTCAATGATCAGAAGGGAAAGCAATTTTTCAATAAACTTGCATATCTTACCTCTTACCCTGGGCTATTAGCTCAACCTTATATGCCTCTGCTTCCGCAGGAAGGCAAATCATTGCAGTAAGTTCTTTGTCCTTGCGCTGAATCTCTTTTTCTTCAACAGCTATCAGTTTCCGTCTTTCTACAACCTCAATTTCAATTTCTTCGCTTCGAATTTTTTGCTTCATCTTTGCTGCTTGCAATTCATATGCCAGTTGTGCTTCAGCTTTCTTCAATCATAAAATAAAAAATGTGAGTAAACATTCTGAACACCCCCTTCACATTTGAAGATTTAAGTTTAAAAAGGTGGAAATTATAAATAATGAAGAACATAATTTAAAATAATGAATGCAGTTTTACATATAAGACACAGTTTATTGACTATAACACTAAATAATAATTCATATACTTAGCTAAATTAGTTGACTAAATAATATTTAGCATAGCAGCTAAAATAGTTTAAAATAATAGCTTTATTATTTAAATATCATCATCAAATAACATACGTTTAGTATTTTAACAAATTTCTGTTTGTCTAAGTAAATAGTAATACCCAATAATAACAAATCTACTGAAAAAAAAAAAGTAATAGTTAGATATTTAGAAAATAATAAAAATGACTTTATAACATACTTACTTAGATCAATTTTGGAAGTAGGTATAAAAGAAAGTCAAAATACTATTTCATTTTCCACTTATATATTATTCTATCGATTGTAAAACTGTCACCATGCATGCAATTAAGTGCCAAATATGGATTATCATATCACAATTAGCATCATAACATATGTGTTTTCATATGACGTAACTCTGATTGATTCTTGATAAACCACCTTTGTCTTTATAAATGAAGGATAAAAATTAAACATTCCTGCTGTATTTCTTCTAGCAAAAAACTTAGTTTAAGTGCTGTAGAATCACATTTGTATCTACACTCCAGTTCCTTTACAGCTGATCAAGAGAATAAACATATGCTGAATGGAAAAAATAACAGCTGGATATATATGACTGACAAAACAACAATATATTGTAATAATTATCAACAAGAAGTTTGTACTCAGCATTCTAAATAGAGCTTCTGGTAAAAATGGAGGGCCTAACAAGAGAAAGTGAATAAATAGCAGAAATAACAGAAAACGATGAAAACTTTTTTTAAGAAGCTCAAAAATGAAATAAGTTGAATACTTGCACAACAGTGGCTGTTTGGTGATAATGCAAAGAGACTGATGAATATTTTATTATAAGAGTTGCAGATTTATTATAATAAGTGCAGTTCAGAATTCTGCAGCAACAACTGGTTCAAATTTGGTGGGATCTTTGCCAATTTTCTTGGTTGAAAAAATAATATATAAGTACCATTTTGATTGTATGTCTAAAAGCTTGAAAGTCATTAACTTAAATACATATATTATAAATTTGACAATATTTTTGATATCAATACAGGAAAAAATACTAACTTTTGTATTGACTTCTGCATCAAAATTTGATTTCTGCAATTGATATAAACGATGTGAATCTTCTACTTTTGTATTAGCCCCATAAGTAACATCCATAGTTGCTTTTTCACATTCAGCTTCCTATATGATATTGTACAAAATATCAGGATAAATTAAAAAAAACATGCATTTAAAAATTAAATCTTATTTATACTAGATACACTAATTATATTGAAAAATTGAAAGTACATCTTATCTGAAATCTCTGTTATTAAAATATCATTATCGTTAATACACTTTTCATTAAATGGAAAAAAAAAAAAAAAAACAGTTTTTAGACAGCATTAAAATTTCTCTACTGTATTCATGGATCTTTTGAAATTTTTATGCTAAGTCACCTTTTGTAATATTCAAATTTATTTCTTTATGTCATATTTTTAACAATACATTTGATCCTTTTTAATTAAAAAAATATTTTGAAATGAATGTCTCCAATTTATTTAACAAATAATGCGAGGGGGGGAGAGGGGAAGTGGTTTCCAATCATTATATTTTTAAGTTTATTTTCAATGGTGGAATTTCAGCTTCATTTTATTTCACCTCAAGTTCATTTAAAAATAAAATTCCCTTCCTTTTCTTATTCATTAAGATTTCATACATAGTTCTGTTTCCATCTGAAACATTTCACAAATTTATTTCCTAAAGAGTTAATATAAGTCAAAGCCCCCCCCCCAAAAAAAACCTACTTTCTAAATTAAAGTACATATGATATTTAACAGTATTTATTTCCCAGCAGGCTTGGGTTCAATTCATAACAACAGCAACAACAAGAGGGGAAAAACCATTGAATCTACATTAAATTCAAAAAAAAAAAAAAAAAAATTAACCTAAGAGCATTATTAAACATAAGCAATAAGATTAACTTATAACAATGCTTAAATTTAGTAAATGCACCCACAAACAAGTTCACAATTATTATTTAAAGACTTAAGAAAAATTAAAATTATTTAGTTTAGTTTAAAACACAAGTACAAACACAAATAATAAAAATAATTTGATTTTAAGTATATACTTATAAACAAACAAGAAATATAAAGCAATATTAAATTTCAGATAATAACGTTTTCAATCTATAATGAAATACCATTCAAATTAAAAAAAAATAAAAAAAATTATGAAAATAATGTAACTTCAGTTAACCGTCTTTAATACTAGAAAGACTGCAACTTAGCATATACAGTCAAAAGTCGTTAATTCGGACACCCATAATCCGGAATGATCTATAATACGGACCTCAAAGCTACAAACTTTCTGTGCATGCGTCGCGTTGACGCAGACCTTTACGACTGCGAATTTGCGTGTGCGCGTGCGCAAAATACGTTTACGAATGCGCATTTAATGTATAACGGATGGTATAAGCTAAGCTCTAATTACCTATTTCAGTTAATGTTGCAGATTGCGTTGTTCCTTAATCTTCGAATTGGATCTGGCTTATTATTTTTTGCAGACTGTTAGAGCAATTCTATAAAAGGAAGCTTGAACTTTCGATTATGTCAAATAGAATTTCCGATTTATATTTACTAATATGTAACGGATCTACAAAGCGAAAGAATGTTTCGGAGTCCATGAAACAAAAAGTGGAATTGCTGCAAAAAATGAATAAAGGCATATCCTTTGTTTATCTAAACTTTAATGTTTGTTTATCTAAACTTTGTTTATCTTTAACACCGCCACGCGCGCAATTAATTGGAAGTTGATCTGTCAGCACTATCCTTATCTTCAGGGCAGATGTTTTTATTTTATTTGGCTTATAATTGCTTACTAAATGTAGTATTTCATTTCGATGTACTCTGTCTTTGATATGATTTAAATCAAATGCCTCATAATTCGCTTCCGATAGCGAAGAAAGTTACAGAGGTTGTTGAAAACGAAAAAATTTCGCTTGACAAATTAGTCGGTATTCTCGACACAGCAATTATAGGACTTGAACAGCGGAACTTTGCAACTGAACAAGAAATTATGTCTGTTTATAGAAATAAAGAGAATGTATTATCACATAAAAAACGAAGCAACCTAAACAACTTACATTGAAAGAAATGTTTAGTAAAGTAAACAAATAAATATTAAGCTTTTTTTTTTTTTTGTAAATTTTGATACACTTTAGATCATAATTGTTCTTTATTTTATAAATTACGGTTTCATATTTTTAATTTTATAATTTCTGCATGCCATTTTACCAGATTTAAACTGATGATCTATAATCCGGAAAAATCGATAATCCGGAATCGCTGAAGTCCCGACAAGTCTGGATTAACAACTTTTAACTGTACCTATATTGCCCAAAAGTAGTCAAAATGACTGCATTGTGAAAGAATAACCAATGTGTAAAGAAATTTGTTTAAAATTAATTTCTAATATTTTTTATATTATTTATAATTGTATAACAAGTTATTAGTAAATACTAACAATAAAAAAATTACTTCACTTGGAAAAAAATAATTTATGCATTATTATTTGTACATTTTTTGCAAATGAAAGTGGAATTCTTTTTATGTATACATCTTTTGCAAACATACTTTTGACATTTAGAACAGCTACTCTTTTATTTGGTTTCCTTTTACGTATTGTAAGAACACAATTCTCTGATTTATATAACAGAGTGGAAAAACGAGGCACGTTATCCTTCGTTTGTGTGGCTGATTTGGGTAGTTATCTCTTGTTTCCTCTAATAGTTCAAACTAGAGTTGTTTGTTTGGCCAGCAATTTTGTCGCGAGTAACATGCTAGTGAAAACGTTATCGGTCGTGATATTTTTTCTACAGCTTGTATATGGCTCGACAAGTTTTAGAACAACGTGTTCACTCAGATTCAAGTAAAAAGTACTACTTTAGCTTATTGAGAAACTGCAATTTATCAAGTATACGCCCAAATTGACAATTTATCATGTACTTGTATGTTATCTGAAAAAAATAAAAAATGTTATTTCAACACAGAGCTGAATTGGTCATATAAGAAACTTACACAATTCAATAAGAGCCATTTGATTATTTAAAATTTCCCAAGCAGTCAAAATGACTACTTTGGGGCAATATAGGTATAACACACGCATATATATATATGTTACCGTGAAAGACCGAAATTGGAGAATATCGACTTTCACCAGAGAATGTTAACATTCACCAAATACGTTGGTGAAAGATCGAATATTGCACTACATTCTTGTATATTCGGACCCTCACCGGTGTATGTCAACAATCACAGATATGCTCTGGTGAAAGTCGAAAAAAGAAGTCATAAAGTGCCATAATAGTTTAAGTTGTTGCAATAAATAAGATTTGAATCACATAATTTAGTAAGTTTTTTATTACTGTTATTTTATTTTTTCATTTATAACTTACTGTATAATTAAGTAAGTTTTTAACTTCTATTATTTTCCTTTCTCAGTTTGAATGTATTGTGTGTTTTAGGTTCTCATGTTCTTATTTCAAGTCTAAAGTGCGTTTATTTGCAACTGAATTACGGAGAAGAAAATATAATATTGTTATATGTTCAACATTCACCGTTAGTACATGGTGAATGCCCACATTGACCGGTGTAAGTCAGAAATAAGAGTATTTGGAAAATATTTCGGACATACACCAAGAGACTATGCAAATGTTGACATTCATTGGTGAAAGTCGACACTCTCCAGATTTCGGTCTTTCACCGTTAACATATATATATATATATACAGTCAAAAGTCGTTAATTCGGACACCCGTAATCCGGAATGATCTATAATCCGGACCTCAAAGCTAAAATCTTTCTGCGCATGCGCCGCATTGACGCATGCGCATAGGCGTTTTACTCGTGCGCGCAAGACATTTACGACTGCACATATGCATCTGCGCAAGTGCAGAATACGTTTTCGCGTGCGCGTTTAATGTATAATGGACGGTAAGAGCTAAAATTATCTAATTATCTATTTCAGTTAATGTTGATAATTGCGTTGTTCCTTAATCTTCAAATTGGATCCGGCTTATTATTTTTTGCAGACTGTAAGAGCAATTTTCTAAAAGTAAGCTTGAACTTTCGATTATGTCAAACAGAATTTCTGATGCTGGAGCTCCCAAAGGATCTAGAAAACGAAAGTATGTTTCGATGTCCATCAAACAAAAAAACGAATTGCTACAAAAAATGGATAAAAGCATATCCTTTGTTTATCTAACCGTTCCGAAATCTGTTTATCAATTTCACACTGCTCTGCGCGGGGGGGGGGGGGGGGGGGGGGGGCACGTCACGGCGCGCAATGAACTGGAAGTTGATCTGTCAACACTATCGTTATCTTCAGGGCAGATGTTTTTATTTTAGTCGGCTTATAATTCCTTACTAAATGTAGTATTTAATTTCGATGTACTCTGTCTTTGATATGATTTAAATCAAATTCCTCGTCATTATAAATATCACGAATACAAATCACATAGTTTTCTGGTTGCAATTTTCTAATTTCGGCTATGAGTAAGGTATGCTTTACGCATCCGCGCGTTAAAAGAAATGTTTAATAAAGTAAACAAATAAATATTAGGCTTCTTTTTTGGTAAATTTGGATACCCTTTAGATCATAATTGCTCATTATTTTATAAATTACGGTTTCATATTTTTAATTTTATAATTTCTGCATGCCATCTTACCAGATTTAAACTGATGATCTATAATCTGGAAAAATCGATAATCCGGAATCGCCGAAGTCCCGACGAGTCCGGATTAAAGACTTTTGACTGTATATATCGAAAATGAAAGAGGGGGAGGTAACTACAATTATTAATAAACATATTTATATGTTGTAAAAAAAGTCACAAAATTCTAAGAAATTGTGTCATTATATTTATTAATTGTTTTTCTAATGGAAATTAAAAAGTCAAAATGTCTTCCTTGGGCAATCTAGTGTTAACAATTAAAATATAATTTGAACAATGTATGATACATATAGAAGATTATAACTGCAAAAAACATATATTTGATAAACGAAGGGAAAAATCAATTGATTTTTCTTCTTTGAAGTTAATTATATTTCAAGACACAATGATTAAAAAAACAAGAGAGGAAGAATAAATTCTTTGCCATCAGAAAGAATAATTTAAGAGGGTATCAACGAAAATGCTGA